AAAGGTCACCCCCAGGTCTCCAGGCAATCAAGGGTCAGTAAAGTGGTCACATATTACACCGTAAGTAACGCATCGAATTCACATCTGACAAAAACTACGTTCTTAGCAGGATGTCATGTGTATGCACCTTTAGCAGCCTGATCGTCGATTTCGGTGTTTCGGTCCGTTTCCGCGCCGATGGAGGCCATCAGTTCCCCAGCCGCCACTTCAGGAAATTCCTCAAACGTTGGGTAGTGAGGCTGGAACAATCGACGCCACGCTGTCCACAGTCAACTGGACACGCTGAAGCAGCAGTCAGACCGTCAAGGCGCCCATTCAGACAACGTGCCATGGTAGAGAGCTCAACGCTGATGCTTTCTTTGAAGGTCTTTTGAATCTTCAGAGCACGCCCCGGGCTGATGGCCGCTCCCCAGCTCAGGTCGTTCACGGGCATCCTCTTTGCTCCCACGTCCCTGTCGGTCATCGCTCATCCTCCCGTGAATGGCAGACTGCGTCAGATGGCTGTGATTCCAAAGCAACAGCAATGAAGACCACAGTTGATGACCACGGCAACCGGACCGCGAAGTGTCTGCTGCATCTAAAGGTCGGTTCAGAGGTTCTCATACAAGATCCCCACAGCAAGCGGTGGAATCGCGTGAAAACCGTCTTGGGTGTTGGCCGCAGATGTGACTACCACATTAAGACGCCCAGCGGGGGGGGGTCTCTTTAGAAATCGTTGTTTTCTCCGCCCGCCCGCAGAGCCTGGATAAAGCTCAGGAAGGACCAACTCATCCATCTTGCCGACCTAGCCCTTAAGGGCGGAGTCAGGTGCAGTCAACGCAGCAAGCGGCGAACAGATCGCCTCCAGCTGTGACGACGCCGTCACTTCGGTCGCTGTGGAGGGGAGGTGATGTGTTGCCACCGGACTGGCTCGCCGGGACGCGCCGGCAGCCACCGGGCCGCCGCCCGGTGCCACGCGGCCCGTTGCCTGGGGCGCCGGCAAACCGACGGCGCCAGGGGTACCAGGGCCCCGTAAAACTCTGCTATTGGCTGGCGAGTGGTGAGCGAGGTTATGTTGCGCGTGTGCGTAGCTGTAAGGGCAGAGTCGCCCTCATCGACTCCGTGGGAACACACCTCTGCTCGACTGTTGTCTCTCGAGGGCACAACAGGAAACACCTTCTCAGACCACCTCCCTGCGGTTAATGAAGTGTCACAAGGGGGCATCCCAAGGGTGCCGTTGTTCGCTGTTGCAGTGAACGACATCGGTGACGTATTGCCCGCAAATGTGCGTCGCTGGCTCTTCGCTGACGACTTCGCCATTTGGGTTTCCATTTCCTCGTCAGCTTCGGCTGAACGACAGATCCAGATCTGCCATGACAAACTGACGCACCGGAATTTTATGAATCGCTTTACCTTTTCAGCTCCGAAGACCACATGCATGCACATCTGCAACAGGCAACGTGATTGTGCAGACCCTGGTGTTGAACCCTGGGGAAGGGCGTACTATACTAACTCTATATTTAATCAAATATACTGAAGCTATGTTTTGCCACTTCCGGACGCGGTGAGGTTCCTGGGCATTGTTCTCGACAGAAGGTTGTTGTACCACGCCCATTTCAGAAACCTTACTGATTGTTGCTCAAAGGGGTTGGACATCCTCAAGGCAGTCTCGAGGATGTCTTGCGGCGCAGACCGGACAACCCTTCTCCGCCTGTACTGAGCGCCGATACGCTCTAAGCTAGAACACAGGTGTCAGGCGTTTGAGTCTGGGCGAGACTCCGTAAAACGCACCCCCGGCACAGTTCAGCACGACGGCGTACGCATCGCCATTTTAGTACTCCGAACAAGCGCTCCATTCGTCACCCTTTTAGTCGAAGCACACGAGCCACCGTTAGTTCTCCGGTGACAGGTGCTCAGCTCGCGCTATGCACTGAAGGTGGCACAATATGAGACACGCACGGCGTTTGGAAGCATCTTTTCAGAACACCTGACCCAGCTTTTTACCACAGGCCGAGCCAGGTCTTCTGAGCCCGTCTGTTTGCGAGCCAGCTGGTGGCTGCTGGAAGCGGGCATGGGCATAAGGAACGTGGCCCTAGGAAGAAGCTCACCATGCATTTGTGGGATGCCGACACCTGTTTGCGATTTGCGTAGTTTTGAGCGGGCTGCGATCTGGTGTCCTGAAAAGCAGCATCCTAGGACCGTTGCTGTTTGCCTGCTTTCTGACTGATGTTCCTGACCAGATTGCGAGCAAATGTGCGCTGATGATGTGAAAATGTATCACCAAATCGACAACGCAGCAGATTATCTCTCACTTCAGGCGGATTAGGATCGCCCCTGCGAATGGCCCAAAAACTAGAACTGAAACTGAATCCAGCTAAGTGAAATGCCACCTCATTTACCCTCCGCACATCGCCTGCCCACCACTCATTCGCACTGACGCCCACCGCCTGGATGGCTGCCAACAAATTCGCGACCCTCGCCGTTCTCCTGGATACCAAACTCACCTTTGTCAGTCACATGTATTCGACTGCCTCAAAAGCATGCAGGACGTTTGGCCTTTTTATGCGAAGTGTGCAAATATCGCTGTGTCATTGTCAAGCGTGGTTCAGCCATAAGGCATTGCCGTGTGTCTTCAACGCTCGTGTATCATGTGGTTGGGCTCCAGAACCCAGTGCCGGTGTTCTCCACTGGATTACGAGCATCTCCTCGTTTATTTTGATACAGTATCTATCAAAACACGCTTTACTCAGTCCGACATATCATTTCTATACAACGTATATCATCAGAGGCTTCACTGCGCTCACCTGGCGTCACTGCTCGGTCAGGCTACACCTGCCCGGCGCTCTACGCACACAGGCCTTTATACAAAATGTTTCAGAACGGGCACCGTATGCTGAACCAAGGCAGTGTACAGATCGTAAAAACATCGCATGCAATCATCCCTGCAAATTCCGCCCGCAGGTTTTATTTCAGTCATGACCAAAAAAGGCAACTCTCGGCCGCCGCGTGTTGCACCCGAGATAAGCCTCTGCTGTAAGCCTTTGCGGCCATGAGATATCAAGTCTTCAGAGTCTATGGCGGAGCACGCCTCAAATGTTGCTGGAGCTCATGCCTATTTCGATGATGACATTTTATCAATGGTCAAAACATAATAATTCTTGAATGTGCCAGAAGGTTACCGGGGTCTGAGCCGCATCAACCCCGTGATGGTTGCGCCCATTCCTTCTTCAGTCCGACTACAGACGGTGCGAGGTGCGGGCTGCGTGGGCATACGCGCGTGCTGCTAACATAAGGAACACTACCAGTGTAAGATACAAGTGCGGCTTGAAACAACAGGTGCATAGACACGCTCTGTGACAGACTGTAGGCAGTTGCGCTTCAAGTGATCACCCTGATATTACACGGAAAACACTGGTACCATCTCGCCCGACCTAAATAACACTTTGAGAATGGCAGTTATCACGAAAAACAGCACATCGGTCGGGATTTAGCAGGCAGCATTGTTTTGTACCGAGGAAAAACACTCTAGAGGCTGAAGGCGAATAAGACTAGTCAACACCACAACCTTGACATACGCCAACTACCCGGCGTGTGACAACATATTCGGCTTTGACGGTTTCTGATCTACTTTGATGACATTTTACCTCAAGCAGAAAAAAATGGCATCCCCGGCCGTGGTTACGCCTCTGCTGATTCTCACGGCGCCGGCCCCCAGCAGCCCCAGCCGTGGTCACGCCTCTGCTGATCCTCACGGCCCCGGCCCCAAGCGTTCCCGGCCGTGGCCACGCCTTTGCTGATCCTCACGGCCCCGGCCCCAAGCGTTCCCGGCCGTGGCCACGCCTTTGCTGATCCTCACGGCCCTGGCCCCCAGCAGCCCCAGCCGTGGTTACGCCCTTGCTGATCCTCACGGCCCCGGCCCCAAGCGCTCCCGGCCGTGGCCACGCCTTTGCTGATCCTCACGGCCCTGGCCCCCAGCAGCCCCAGCCGTGGTCACGCCTCTGCTGATCCTCACGGCGCCGGCCCCCAGCAGCCCCAGCCGTGGTCACGCCTCTGCTGATCCTCACGGCCCCGGCCCAAGCGTTCCCGGCCGTGGCCACGCCTTTGCTGATCCTCACGGCCCTGGCCCCCAGCAGCCCCGGCCGTGGTTACGCCCTTGCTGATCCTCACGGCCCCGGCCCCAAGCGCTCCCGGCCGTGGTTACGCCTCTGCTGATCCTCACGGCCTTGGCCCCCAGCAGCCCCGGCCGTGGTTACGCTTCTGCTGATCCTCACGGCCCCGGCCCCAAGCGCTCCCGGCCGTGGTCACGCCTCTGTTGATCCTCACGGTCCCGGCCCCTAGCAGCCCCGGCCGTGGTTACGCCTCTGCTGATCCTTACGGCCCCGGTCCCCAGCAGCCCTGGCCGTGGTTTCGCCTCTGCTGATCCTCACGGCCCCGGCCCCCTGCAGCCCCGGCTGTGGTTGCGCCTCTGCTGATCCCTGCAGCCCCGGCCCCAAGCGCTCTCGGGCGTGGTTACACCTCTGCTGATCCCTGCAGTACCGTCCCCCAACATCCCCGGCCGTGGCTACACCTCTGCTGATCCCCACAGCCGACTCGCAGACCTTCAAAACATGTCTCAGGGGATTACGTCGCGCTGGTTGCGCAAGAGAGAGGAGAAGCTTCGGAACACAGTTACGCATGTTCATGCTTTGTTTTCGGTTGGCAGGCCCACTACCTTTGGGAGAGCGCTTTCTCCCGGTGATCAATTTTCATTCGTTCACCCTGCTGTAGCCGGGAAGATGTGGCCTGAACTCGTTGCCGACAGCAGCAAAAAAAAGGGGGAAGGGGGTAGCAGCCAACCACGGCCGGTCTGACCAGTTTGGCGAGCGGCGGCGGTAGCGGAGCTCGCGCTCGGCCGCGGTCGCAGTCGACACGCGACCGACGATGGGGCAGGTGCGTCAGCGGCGAGGTGAGGCGGAGCCGGCTCCGCACGAGCCCGGCGCGGAGCCGGGGCCGGCGGCCGAGCCGGCGCGTCAGGAGCCGGCGCCGGCCAACGACTGGCTGGCGCGGCGCGGCCGCAACATGGTGCTCGTCATCCTCTCGTACGTGCTCGTGTCCATGGCCTGGTTCGTGTGGTTCCAGGTCGGCAGGCAGCCGCCCAAGCTACTCGTGCTGTCGGTGGGCGGTCTGCGCCACGACTACCTGAGCTTGGTGCCCCCGGCGCAGCTGCCCTTCTTCACACACTTCGTGCGGTATGGCGCACGCTCCGAGTGGCTCAACCCGACCTTCCCGTCCGAGGGCATCGCCACGCGGGCATCCTTCTTCACCGGCCGCTACCCGGAGAAGCACGGCATCCTGGGCGAGCACTTCCTCGACCGGCAACGCGGCGAGCTGCGAGTGGACGGCCCGGCCGGCCACTCGGCCACCGACCCGGCATGGTGGGACGGCGTCGTGCCCCTCTGGACCTCGGCCGTCAAGCAGTGGCGTCGCACAGCTGTGTTCAACGTCCAAGGCGCCTGTGTGCCCATTGATGGCAGCAATATCAGCTTTTGTCAGGCGCCGGGGCAGGCCGGCGAGTTCGAGGAGAGTCTGACGCTGGCGCTGGACCGCCTGTTCGCCGAGGCCTACCCGTGCAATATGGCCATCGTGCACACGGACGAGCTGCGGCGGACCGCCGAGAAGCACGGCGCTACGTCCGAGGCCGTGCTGGATGCGCTGCGCGCACTCGACGGCCAGCTGCAGACGCTCGACCGCGCGCTGCTGGACCGCCAGGCCCGCGGAGAGGTCAACGTCGTCATCGTGTCGGACGGCGGCCTGACGGACACGGCTGACATGGAGGTGATCTCGGTGGACAGCCTGCTGCCGTCCGAAGCTCCCGTCACCGTCGCCGGCGACGGTGCCGCCTGCCTCGTCTACATGGCCGGGGAGCACGCGACGGCTGCGCACGCGCAGGCGCAGGCCGTGCCGGGCGTGCGCGCGTACCTGCGCGGCGCCATTCCCGCGCGCATGCGGCTGGCGCACGGGCAGCGCGAGCCCGACCTCCTCCTGGTGGCCGAGCCAGGCTACTACCTGGAGCACGAGCGGCCACTGGCCGTGGAAGCGGCAGGCGGATACGACGACACGGCCGGCGGCGTGCCGGACATGCGCGGCGTGCTGCTCGGTCGCGGCCCCAGTTTCCGCGCCGGGGTCACCGTCCAGCAGGTGAACGCCGTCGACGTGTATGCCATGCTCGTCGCGCTCATCCAGGTGACGCCCGAGGTGCACAACGGCCACCTGGACAACGTCTCCGACATGATCAACTGGTGAGGCCGCGTGGTCGTGTCACCGGCGCGCGGCGGCCTGCTGCCGCGGCTGCGTGACCGTTGAACCGGATGTGGCGTGTTGCGGAATGTGGGTCTTTCGGCCGCTTGTCTCGCGGCCACAGGGAATACCGACTAAGAGGTAATTCCGTGCTTTATAAGCGCCGCTGCAGAAGAGGAAATATTTTCGTGGTTCGCACAGTTGTGTCGTGTTGCACAGACTGGTCGTGATGTGGTGTCATTGTACGTTGAGGTCATAGAGCTGGGCAAGTATGGGCAGGCAGGCGGAACCAATAAAGTGTCGACATTTCTAAGGTTGTGATTGCGTATTAATCTATTATTTATCCGATACGAAATACCATGGCAAGCAGGCCTGCTAAATTTAGGCCGAATATAGATTTGTCCGAAGAGACCATAAGTTCGAGCATATGTGATATCTATACATAGATGTAAGTCTCGGACGATTCGTCCACACCTACAATGGCAAATAGTTGTCAGAGTGGTGTGTTTTAAACACACGCGTGCATCCCGAGAGCTTCTAGCGTCCCAGTTTCGCCAATGGGGTGCGAAGAACAACCGCTGGGCGAATTCAGACAGCCTCGACCCAAGTGGTGAGATTCCTTCGGGCCAGTCAATCGACCGCAATCTCGCACAGACTCAGTCTTCACATCCGTTCTCCTGGATGGGATAATAATACGAACGCACAATGGAAACAGATAGGACAGATGTGCGGCGTATACCTACGTACCTAATACCGCTGGGGCAACTGCAAACCCCTTGCTGCAATGGTGGTAGTTGTGGCAGCCAACCCACATTCATCCATTTTTGCATCGCAACGATTGCAATGACCCCATTGCAAATCGCTGGCAAACCGCAGGGTAATCAAGCATGGGCAGTACCTCTATCACAACATAACTGTAGCAGTTGCTGGCATAAATAGGTACGCCTGTATCGATAGCACACATATGTGCTACTGAGCGTTATATTTGACCCGTTAAATTAGCAGTGCGAGCTACCTTAGATTGGCAATATCCGCGCGAAAATATTGAATTGTTCATGTGAACATCATTCGTCTAACGGCCTATCTAACGGCCCCATTGCACATTGTTTAGGAAGCGAGCTTGTGCAAGATCTCCGGCAAGTTCACCGGATGAGAGTGATGCGCATTTTCGGCACACAACGCATCCTGAGAACATCAGCAAGCTCGATCGAACGGAAACTCATGCTTGCCTGATACAGCACGCACCTGGAGAACGACTCTCTCGCTTACATCTGAATGGCCGGCTTGGCATAAAAGCTGTGGCGGCGACATCTAGCCAATGAAGCGACAAGCTTCAGTTCATCTGTCTATGGCAATGCCCCGCACCAGGCTCGAAGCCAGAGTGTACCGGTACTCTGCTCTATTGTGAGCATTCCATTTCCGAACGTCAGCGTCACGTTGTCCGGGCTACTGGTCATCCTGGGGCCGCTGCACTATCCCAGCTCCCTGGCGATGCCAAGGAATCATTCCGGAACGCATTCTCCACTTAGGACCTCCATGAACTACCTGAGCTCGAAAGGCCTACGCTCGGAGGACCTACTGCCGCTGGACCTACTGCCGGGAGATAAGCACTCGTTATAGCTAATCCTGGAGGAACTACGCTCGGAAGACCTATCGCTCGAATACTTACGCTAAGACTTACTACTGTTTCTTGTTTGAATAGTGAGGATCTCGGAAGACCTATCGCTTGAATACTTACGCTACGACTTACCACTGTTTCTTGTTTGAATAGTGAGGATCTCGGAAGACCTATCGCTTGAGTACTTGCGCTAAGACATACCACTGCTCCTTGTTTGAATAGTGAGGATCTCCGGGTTGGTATTCATGACATGGATAGGGGCGGCGCCACCGACTTTTCTCCAGAGACAAACGGATCTAGTGGTGTCCAATCCCATCCTTTATCTAAAAATTTGCCTCGGATTCCGATTAAATTTCGAGACCATCTCTTGTATAGGCTTAATAGCCCTCATTTCGATCTGACAGAATGCTCTGTATCGGTCATCAAGACCTCCTGTCGACACGATGGAAAATGGGGGCCTGCTGAAAATGTCACGGGGCGTACATATATGGGCATCAAGGGCATACAGGCATACAGGCATGCGTGTCCCTTCTAAAATGGCGAGGGGACTTTTGCCTTCTTGCCCCACTGGTCGCACCACCCCTGGCCATGAACAATTCATAACTATCATCACACAGGCACCACTCGCCCCTCTTATTCCCCTCTGTTTAAGTTCTTGGTCAGCGCCTTGCTGCCGCCCAGCGGAAGGTGCCAACAATGACCAGAAGTGGGCAGGGTCAGGACATATTCACCCAATCCGATGGAGCCTTGTCATCACACACCGTCAAGTTACCAAGTTGCCACGTCGCCTGGTGCCCGGCTAGTTTTAGTTTTTTTTAGTTTTATCCTCACCTAGGCAGGCCTACCCCGCTCCGGCCACTCCTCGTGTGCCGCTGCCCCTTGCTGCTTGAATATCCTGACTCGACAAACGGACAACGCCAGCAGGCAATCATCAATCACGGCACGGTCCTAAGGAGTAGGTCCTCCAGGAGTACGTCTTCCGATCGTAGGCTCCCGAGCATAGGTATCAATAGCGTTGTGTCTTCCGAACGTAAGTCGACTGAGCGGAGATATGCCGGAGCGGATCCTTCAACCCTCAACCAACCTAAAGACAGCGCCCACGCACAACCCGGCCTTCTCTGAACAGTCATAGAGTTTCATGGCAATATCAGAGGCAATCTGATATTTTCCGGAACCCAGTCGTGCGCCAGCAATTCATCGAGGAAGTCTTCAAACGCCCGGACAGTCAAGATCCCTGCTCTTTTCTCTCGGGTTTGCCAGCCGTCTCCACGGCAGCGAGCCCCGTCACAAATATGTACTCTTCAACTAGGCGGAGGTCGCAGTCGTCGTGCCCGGTCATGGCGGTGAGTTCAATGGCCGCCATGGGCACTAGAATACCACGATAGTCTCTAGCCTTCCCCGACGCCGCTGCAGCGTCACGATGCACATTATTATGGAAGGTTCAACACACTTTAAGGAGCCTGTAGACAGGGGCGTACTTTCTCAACATATGTTGAGAAAGTGCGCCCCTGGTGGTGACCTGTGCAGCGAACAATGACGAGTCCTACGCTCAAGATATGTCAACAAACGGATTTCTTTCCGGATTGGTCCCATTTTCTTTTCAGAATTAGGGGAGCCCAAGTTGGACGCCCTCTCCCTATATCCCCCCCCCCACGCACACTGAATAGGAAACTTCACCCTGGCCCGAAGATCTCAGCATGCAGGGGGAGACACTCACACGATCCTAAGACATGAACACGTGTTTCGCATCTACCTGTAACTAGGAGGGTGCTGAAAAACTCAAAGATATGCGTACAACACAGCCAAAAGGCCTTGGAATGGCGAAGTTAGTCCGAGCTCATCAGGGGATGGGGAAAGTATTCAGGATATTGTAGCTGGGTCGATGTGAGTATGGAAATTCATAAAACTCACATGTGGCGGACAGCAAAACATATATTTCATTCAGTAATGAATATGAAAACTTGTGGTCCTTGCAACAGGAATCAAGCTCACTGTAAGCACAGATGCATGGGTGACACTGGCACAAATGGATCACACTGTTCTCCAACAAAGGCTCATGATTAAAACACTTGAAAAACATGCATTATGATATTATACTGTATCACATTAGCTGTTTGTTCCGGGTGTTTTTTGTTCTTGATCTGTTCCAAGAATGTCCTTCTGGATGTCCTCAATGTTGATACCTTTGTCAGCTATAGCTTTTTTAGCACATTCAGAGTACTGTTCAAACAGCTCTAGGCACTTTGGATCTTCTTCTAAATGGCCCTTCAAGAACTTCTCTGAAAACCATGCATTGAAACAATTATCATATTGCTTCTTTACCTCTTGGCACTCCTCACCAATGCTATTCATATTTTGACCTGTGAAAAGAAAGGAGGAATAACTGGAATAAATAAATAAAAGGTGCAGTTAGTACCAAGTTCTGAGTGCCAGCCTGTACCAGTCACTACCAGTCTGTAACATGACTTGCACATTTACTAAAAGGTTTGTATCTAAGTTTACTTTCCACATACTCATTATGCTATTTTACAGGTATATTTGGGAAAAATCATGAGTTCTTGGGTTAGGCCAATGAGAAAACAATCTGCTTTTAAACAATTGCTGCATTAAAACTAACAACTGCTATTTATGCAATAGTATTGATAATGTATTATTGAATGTTTTTGGCTGCCCCCCCCCCCCTCATGGCCCATGGCTTGTTAGACACAAAATGGGGCAAAAAATAATCACACCTTCACATGGAACTTTTCTGGCTCCAACAACATTCACATAGCTTTTTAAACATTACCTTAGCTAATCTTACAGTAGTTGAGAATGAAAGGTAAATATACTTCTTCAAGCTCTATTTGATGTGTCATCCAGTTTCATTATGAAATGTTGCATGTTAGTTTAGCCCATCGAGAGTTGAGCCTAGATTTTGTCTCTAAATCAGATTGAAACAACTGAACTTGAATGTCACTGCACTTTTAGATCCATCACAGTATTGCTGGTGCTAGACTAGAATTATTATTAACATTAAAAATATAATTTACACTTTAATCCATATTTTTGTCAAAGACATACCTTCATTTATAAATTATGATCTGTTGTTGAACTAGAATTTGATCTGGATGCTGATGCCAAAAACATATAACTGAACATACTGCTTCTAAGGCAAATAACTAAACACATTTTACCTCTATCACTATAAACAGCCATGAAAGTAATAAGGGGATAGGAAGGTTTTACACTTACTATGCCACACAGTTACCTCAACACCCTGGACATGCAGCCAAAGCAGTACTAAAATATAAGATCACTCATCCTCTCCTTGCCCATGATGTGCCATTCTGCTACTTACCTAATCAACCAGGGTAACATAAAGTTGCTACTAAGCATATAAACAAGTTTATTTGTACAATTATAATTCTTATCTGAACTGGAATTGGACTTGATCTGAGCTTCGATGCCAAAAATATAACTGGGAACGCCGTTTTTAATGCAAATAGCTAACCAAGCCCTTCTTCTACCACTTCACAGCTACGAAACTGACAGGAGGATGGGAAGGTGTATATTTCATGTGGCACGCAGTTACCTCGGCGGTCAAGGCATGCAGCAAAAACCCTAAAATATAAAATTACTTACCTCCTCCTTGCCAACGTGCCAATTTTCTACTACTAAAGTAATCGATCAGGGCAACATACAAGGCTTTTTTTACAAGACCTTCCTTCACCCCGCTTTTGTCATCGTTGCGTCATTTTACATGTTTCCAAGAAGTATGAAATAGAAGTCTTTCAATGAAATATTTAAGGATATGCTGTGCATAAATCGTGTGAGATAACTAGAAGCACAAATTTTATATCTAAATCGGCTACCCCTTGATCATATGCTATCACTTAAACCTTTCCAAAGGGTTTTGAACCCCATGGATGTAGGTTATCTACAAATATGACGCTATGGTAGCGATGAGCTGGAGGGTTGGTGGTTGCTTTCAGTCATAGGCGTTAAAATACCTTTGTTGAGTGGGGGGTGCGGTGGGTCACAATTAAATGGGGGTCCGGAAGTGGGTTTATTCTTAGTTGATGCTGTTATCGAAAACGACCATTCCACAAATCAGTAGAGAGCGAAAAGAATGCGTCAGCTTTTCAAGGTCAGAAAGGTGATTCTATGATCAGTTCTCAGCGTTGCTGAAAACTACATGCAAGAATGAACTCTGGTAATGTGTTTTCTTAATGCTGTATGGTACTCTCCGATGATGAAGCTTTTGGCAAGCATTGTAAGCAAAATGTGTTGGATTATTTATCAAATATTAAACCGGGGTCAAGGCACTTATCCTGTACAATATACCCATGTTACCCATGTTCAGTATACCCATATTACCCATGTTCAGTAACCATATCTGTTATACTAGGTGGAATACTGCAGCAGAAATGTTATTCTTTGGCTCATTGTTTGTGTGAAGGTTGTTGTTTTTGAAGTTTTATAGTAATATATTACATACTTAGTAGTTATATTTATGCCCATAATTCTTCCTTTGATCATGTGTACAAAATTTAGGTCTGTGAAAGTATGAGTAAATACAATACCTTTGACATTAAATGTATCAGGAATAAGTTCAGTTCCACTGGTGCCTAGAGCTTAAACATTACAGAACCCTTCACAAAAGTCCACAGCTAAGTAGGGACAAAGTCATGCAATTATGCAATTATTTTGCACACTCATCATGTGGCCACTCACCAAAGCCACCAAAAAATTTATTAGCTCTATTGTGACACATTTTCTAAGAATCAATCTGTGAACTTGAAATCTTATTAACCAGGCAGGCATGCACATGGATCCCAGGAGTGGGTCCAGGTTCTCTAGCATTCCATGTGTACAGAATTCTGCTAGTTTTTTTCCCCATACTCTAGGCTTATGTTCATACTGAGGAACAGGTGTCAGATAATATTTCAGTATTAAGATGATATTGTGGACTGTTCACATTCCACAGGCATGATGATGCAGCTAGAAACATTCTGTGTGGCATTAAAAGGACAATAAAACACATTTTGCAACAGCTGCAAACCAAAAACAGCATTCTGTATGAGTTTTTTAATTAAGGGTGTACCAGTGGTACCTCCCATTCAAGAGCACATTTTTTAAGGAGGCCAACCTCTGTAAGGAGATCTTTTTTTGGAAAGTTGTTACATGCAACTTGGGATTAAGGTTCATATCAGTGGTAGGTTGGAGGGGCAGTGGCAGTAGCCAGTTGTGCATTCGACTGCCAACTGTTATATCATACTGTATTTGGGGCTGCAGGTGAGACTGGCAATGTGACAGCTACTGCCTGCCCTTGGGGAGTGGGCACTATCCAGGGAAAGGGAAAAAGCCTGGAAGCATGAAGAAACTACATAAAATACAGTCTATGGATCAAAGGCTTCAGTTCCAGGTAAGCTGTGAATGTGGTTTCCTAGAGCTCATACTTGCTTACCATTCCCTTTGAAAACAATAATTAGGCTGTGTTTGACCTGGTTGTTACATCAGTTGTCAACTGCCAGTATTGTATGATTGTAATGCATGCTTGCGATGTGTGTGCCTGCTATCATTGCTACTTAGTGATTTGGCCTTATGTCAGAGACAAGTGCCATAAAAGGGAATGTTCCAAGTTTTAGAATATTAAAGCAAGTATCACATATGATGAAATATCACACTGATAACTATTGGTATACTTTTAAGTTGAAAAGACTGCTCTAGACAACACAAATTCTCTATTTAGTGGCTGTCCTCCTCAATATGTCTTTGATCGATAAGGGTACCTTGCACACCATTGAGAGGGCCAGTGGACAGCTGCTAGCTGACAAATGCCAGATTTAAACAATTCAATAATGATGTGTTCTTGGCCTTAGTGCCTGCATGCTTGACAGAATGGCAGGATTTGAATGATGTTTTTATAGCATTATGGATACATGGTGGCATTGAAAAAGTCATCAACATGTGTACACACCCTTACATACATGCAGTTCAGAAACTGAAGGGATTCAGGTCTCGAGAAAGGTAGGGCTGTGTACTGAACTCAACGATCTTCAAGCGGGCTATTTCAGTACAAACCCCCATGCGGATGTTGAATACTGTCTTTAAGGATTTGTCTCTTGCATAGAAAGTGTCATATAATTTCCATGCCTTCCTCTGTTTGTTATGATTTAGTGACATCAAGTGGTGATGGGATTTGCATTTGGTAGTAGGGCAGTAAAGTTTATTGGGTAAGCCACTGATCAGTTACGTTTTTTTTTTAGCACAAAATGGCCAAAGAAGCCCACCTGCTTTCTGATAAATGCTCGTCATCGATAAGGTCAAGCTCAGGATATCACCTATAAAGACAGATCACTGATGATACGTTACATTCTTGTTGCAGTGCTATGCAGATACCGCCCTCAAATCGGGGAATGGTAACATCTGTCTCAAGATCGAATACAGTCACGATAAACCGTATGCACTTGTTCGGAAAACACGTGACAATTCAACGCTGGAGCCCTTGCCAGCTCAAGAAGAAGCCTGGAAAAGACATCTGCCTTCATCGTGTGATGAGTATAGGCCCGTCTCGACAGCCCACATCCAAAACGGGCATCTAGAAGAACGGGACCATGAACACGAAAAGTTGTGGACTGCGGGGAAAAACAACGGTGTTTCCATGAAGCCTCCCATTGGATGTTGCGTGACCGCGCCGGCAGAAAACGCCAATAGTCTGGCTGATGTCTCACCAAACGCCAGTGGGCCCGGACATTCAACCACTGAACGACACTGGTGTGGGTACGGCCACGGAGCACGCCACTGATGTGGACACGGCCGTACAGAATGGCGACGGGGCGGACATGACAGCATCGAAAGAAAACTCCGCAGACGCGCTAGCGCGTCACGCGCGAGCACCGGATGTACCTACATCGACGGACATCGTCCGGTTACAATACCGCAGAAGGAAAACGTTTCGGCTGTGCCGACGTTAAACGCGAGCGGCCACTGCGTGGCCCCGTGGGGCCAGAATGGGCAGGTGGTTGTGACGTCGGACAGCGCAGATTTCATATGGGCAGGCTCAGACGAATACGACCCATTGTCTGCGGCTGAGAGGGGGTTTAGAGTCTTTAAAAGCATCGCAAAACAAGATTCAGCCGTCCGAAAACGGACAAAACGAGTGGTAGCTGCGCCCCAGCATTGCAAAAACAAACAGAATCAGATGTGATTACACACAGTGAGAACGACGCATATCAAACTGTTCCGAATGGAAGCACACATCTGATGAGCACTGATCAGAGTGGGTCACCTCAAAGCGGAAGCATGGCCGTCAACCAATGGCAGGCGAGCAGCGAACCTGCGACAGCCACTGCCGGTGAAAGCCGACCGTTGGCTGAGGCCGGCCAGGAGGCGCCGCGGTTGCGAGACGAGGGATCCGGCCGCGCGACCCTGAGGAAGCGGAGTCCGCCACTGGGCGGCGGACCCGCGGCGACATGTCGGCGACAGGCGTCCCCGCCGGGCAAACGTCAGTTGGAAGCCAGGTCAGTCCAGCTCGTCTGTGGCATTCAGGTGCTGGTATTGCGCCGTGCTGGCTGTTAATGCGGGCCTCGTGAAACTGTGCAAACGGGACAGACTTGGGTTTGCGTATACCACAGGTGCGGGCTATTCGAAACATTGTTAGAAACGTACGTCCGTTTCTGGAGATACCAATGGAGTGCCGCTGGAATGACTTCGATGCATAGTCATATCGGCGTAAAATTGTCCTGACCTCGCTCACGCATTCACGGTGTAGTCATCCGAGGGGGGGGGAGGGGAGGGGAGGGGGGGGGGAGGGGGGGAGGGACCCCCCGGTAGCATTAACATGTCTCTCTGGGAAACAGGTCTCGTACTAGAACGGAGCATGGAGCGAACCCTTATTTCGCATACCCATAGGTTAAGCGATCAACATATCGCACGTTTCTATGCTTGAGAAGACCATTACGCAAGAGGCTGCCGCCAGCGTACCAGCTAACATGCCGCCCCCTTCCCCCGATGGCCGTTGAGTAGCGGTGATCTGACGTGACCGTGTTCCAGCCGTCAGCGACCGGATGTGGACGAGCGGTGTGGCGGCGGCGGCGGCGGCGGGCGGCGACCCAGGCCAGACCGGGGGCGGCGAACTGCGGCCGCTCACCTCCGCGGTCAGTAAGGCTCGCCGGCCGGTCCGCAGACAGGCGCGGTGTGTTCGCTTTTAAGACGGAGGCCCGCAAATGGTCCGCGAACGAGACGACTTGACAGCGAGCCACAGTGGACTGTTTGTTGTACGCCGTGCTGCCATGGGGCCGCGCATGCTGCACAGTTGGGCGTAGGCTCCGCGCTGACAGCATGGCGGCGGATGTTTATGCCGTGAACGAGGCGAGACAACACAAACAGGCAAACAAGCAGACTAGTAGGACTGCGATGCCACAGGAGGGGGTTATGCACACACTGCTCAATGGTTATCGTAGTTGGCCGAAGGCTCGTCACGATCCTGCTGTAAGTTTACAAGCGTAAAAAGCGTCATGAAAGCATTCGACGTTAGCTGCCCCTGTCAGTATCAGTAGCGAACTAATTTGGTGGTTGTCAGCTGTTAGTTAAGGAAAACGTCCTCGAACCGAATGGCAATGTCTACGCGGAACTAGGACTGATCGCGGTGTTTGCCCCGTAATGGCCGGCCAACTCATTCTTTCCGCGTCGTCTCAGTATGTGCCCCGTCATTTTCAGGCCTCCGGCTCGCTGTCATCAGAGCAGCTGCCCGCACCTTTGGGCCGACAGCCTCCGAACCTACCTCGGCCCGGGCTGGGCACGCGTCGTCGCCCCCCCGACTCGGAGGATCTGCGGCTGATTGTGGACCGGCTGAAGATGAAGCTAGAGCAGCAGATGAAGGCCAAGCTTGGGCTGGAGGAAGAGGTCAGCGGCTTGAGGCGGCGAGCGGCTGAAGAAGGCGTCCGTATGCTCGCCGGGGGATGTGGTGCCGCTTCCCGTGAACGGGCGACGGTGACACCATGGGGCCGGAACTCATTCCTTAGAGGAGCGTCCCAGTCCAGTCCCATCCCCAGTCCCAGTCCCAGTCCCAGTCTCAGTCCTTGTCCCAGTCCCAGTGTTTGTCTCAGCCCCAGTTCCCAGTCCCAGTCTCAGTCGTGCCTGGCCGGCCTGCGGAGGAACCGGCGCGCCGCCAGCCAATGAACCGGCCAGCGGACCGCACCCCGTGATGCCCACCGCGCCGGCCGATTGCCCACCGCCAGCCAGGAGTACTAGTCAGCACCCTCCGGCTTCGGGCGCCAGCCACCGGGTCGCCGGGCGTGCCTCGGCCCTCGCGCCACTGCGGCCGCCGGAGCGCCGCCTGGAAGCCACCCTGGCAGCGGCGCACGGCCGAGCGGGGACGCGGCGCTCCGCTGGGCGGCAGGCGCTGCACCGGGGCCGCTCGCGGCGCGCAGGGTCGTGAAGCCGCCGAGGTCGGCGCCCGGCTTAGAGAAGGCGCGCGCCGACCTGGACCGGGCGAGGGCGGGGGGCGCCGCGGCGGCCGGCGTGGGCGCGCGGGCTGAGCCGAGGCGCGGGCCGAGCTCGGCGCGCTGAAGGGCCGACCGGAGTCGGTGGGGCGGCACAAGCGCGGGCCGAAGGGGCCGCTGAGCTGGGCGCGGGCAGGGCGGAGGTTGGACGCGCTGCGAGCCGACGCGAGAGGAGTCCGAGCGCAGCTGAGGAGGGACGCCAAGATCGCAGAGCTCCTCCGCGAGCTCGCCTCGGCTCAGACGGCCGCCTCGCCCGCCGCCGCTCGGTCGCCGCACGGCGAACAGGTTACCTCCGCGGCGGCAGACGGCGGTCCCCCTATCCTCGCCGAGCGTCAGCTCATCGTCTGACGCCGGGCGGGCTGCACGGCCGACCGCCGCGGCGTCGGGCACCCAGGCCCCGGCTGGGACGCGGGGACGCGTCAGCGGGCCGCTCGGTCCAGAGGTGGCTGGTGTCGGCCAGGCCTCGGAAGCCGGAGCAGCCAAGCCCAGGCTCGATCCCGGCGGCGGGATGCGGCGAGCAGCTCCAACTGGGGTGAAAACGGAGGGCGAGGTCGACTCAGGTTCGCGGGATGCCCGACGTGGCTGCGTGCAGAACGGGGTGTCGCCTATCGTAAATGATCCGACCCAGTACTACCTGGCTGAAGCGCCGCAGTCAGCCGGGCAGTTGGAGGACGATGAGGCGGACGACCGTCGTGCACAGGTGCTCATCGACTCTGACGACGATGGCGGACAGCAGGAGGAGGAGACGGGGCGCCGAGGCCGCCGCCGTCCACAGTTTGTCGACGGATGCCCGCTCTCTGTACTGCACCGAAACAAGCCACCGCCACACCACCCGCAGAAGATCCCGGAGCTGGACGAGCTCTCGTCCGACTGGGAGACGGACAGTTCGGACGAGCAGATCGGCGGGCGAGCTGCGCGCGCTCATCGCGCGCCTGGAGGCGGAACGGTGCGCCGCCGAGGTGCGCGCCGGCGAGCTGGACGATGTGGCCAACGCGGCTCGACACACCGAGCTCACAGTGTCATCATCGAGTGCGAGGAGACGCGCCGACGCGCCGGCGACGCCGAGCAGCGGGCGCGCCGCGCCGCCGACGCCGGTGGCCGGCTGGGCCGGGCCGAGAACGCTGAGCGGCGCCGCGGCCTGGCGCGGGCCGAGCTCGACCGGCGGGCGGCTGAGGTGGCGGGGCGGCAGCCGCGGCGACCGGAGACGGCGGCGCCGACGTCGGTCGGCTGGAGGCACGCCTCCAGGTGCGGAGAGAGCGCGTGCGGCCGCCCTGGCGCTGACGGAGACGACGCTGGCCGAGCTGCGGGCCTCGGTCGGCCGTAGTGCAGCGGCTGGAGGAGCAGCTCGCTCCGCCCTACAGCCGGAGGGCAGATCGGCCCCTCGCCAGCCGGACCGCCCGTCCAGCATCATGCCGTCAGACAGGCGCGGAGAAGGCGGCGGGCGGACTGGGGCGGTCCGAGCCGCAGCCGGCTGAGCCCAGCGCCGAGATCCGCCTCTTCTCGCTATCGCCGTCCCGCCGCCAGCTCCCGAGCGGCCGCCGGCCCGACGCAGAGGGGTTCTTTTGGCGAGTGCATGTGCCGTTAACCAGCCCCTGTCACCGTCGCTTCCTACTGACCCGACCACTGCAGGGAGGTTGCGGCTTCGAAACCGGGTGAGATCACACCGGAGCCAGCGCTGGTGCAGAGGCGTACCGTAATGTTGATGCGACTAGGTCAGGCGCTGGCCGAATGCCCGGCGGCCGCGGCGACGTTTATCACATCCTATCCAGACCCTGCATTGGCGGAAAGTTCAGACGCCCCTCTCCATTTGCGTTGCTTCTCAGGTCCGTGAGCGGAAGGAAGCAACACCCACTGTCCTGTGATCTAGCGATCTCTGAGTCCTCGGATGAACCGTCGGCATCCTGTATATCTG